GCCCTGGGGAGGGCCCGGGCCACCCTGGGCTGCACATCCTGGGGAAGGGCCCGAGCCCCTCCGGGCTGCATATCCTGGGGAAGGGCCCGAGCATCTCCGGGCTGCACTCCCTGAGGGAGGGGCCAAACACTTCGCAGATGCCGCTAGCTGCAGAGGGCCGTGGCGCTTCCGCAATGTCCACTGCCGCTGACACCCCTGCCGCAGTGAGCTGCGGTGCTTCAGCTGGCATGAACCTGTTCAAGTGCACCTCCCTTGGTCTGCCAAAGGCATCTGCTCCCTCTGTACGCCCTAAGCGTTCGGAAGGCCCCCTGGAATTCCAGGTCCTGAGAGACAGTGAGAATTCCAACTCCATTACCATTATGGGCCTTGGCACCGCCCACGTTGCTCTCACCCTGAAGCCTCAGGATCCTATGGAGCAAAACGTCGCAGAATTGTTGCAGTTTCTGCTGGTGAAGGATCAGTCCAAGTACCCGATTAAGGAATCTGAAATGAGGGAATTCATTGTTAAAGAATATCGCCACCAGTTCCCCGAGATCCTCAGACGAGCAGCAGCCCACCTGGAGTGCATTTTTAGGTTTGAACTGAAGGAGCTAGACCCCGAGGAGCGCACCTACATCCTGCTCAACAAACTGGGACCTGTGCCCTATGATGGGCTAGAAGATATCCCCAATGGGCCAAAGATGGGCCTCCTGATGATGATCCTGGGAAAGATATTCCTGAATGGCAACCAAGCCAGGGAAGCTGATATTTGGGAGATGCTCTGGCGATTCGGGGTGCAGCGTGAAAGAAGGCTCTCTGTGTTTGGGAACCCGAAGAGACTTCTCTCGGTAGAGTTCGTGTGGCAGCGTTACCTGGACTACAGGCCCATAACTGACTGTGGACCTGTAGAGTATGAGTTTTACTGGGGCCCGCGATCTCACATCGAAACCACCAAGATGAAAATTCTGAGGTTCATGGCTAGGATCTATAACAAAGATCCTATGGACTGGCCAGAGCAATACAATGAAGCGCTGGAAGAAGATGCTCTCAGAAACGCTGAAGATGATTGGCGGCCTGTCGCTCCCTTTAGGAGGCCCTTTTTTGAGGAAGTTCCTCCAGAGCTCCTGGCTCCTGATTCAGATGCTCCTGGCTATTCCTCAAAATATTCTCCCCATTCATGGCCTGAGTCAAGATTAGAGAGCAAGTCAAGGAAGCTGGTCCAGTTATTTCTGCTGATGGATTCAACTAAGCTGCCTATACCAAAGAAAGGAATTCTGTATTACATCGGTCGAGAGTGCAGCAAGGTGTTCCCTGACCTCCTGAATCGTGCTGCTCGCACCCTAAACCATGTGTACGGCACCGAGCTAGTGGTCCTTGATCCCAGGAACCACTCCTACACCCTGTTCAACCGAAGAGAAATGGAAGATACTGAAGAAATTGTGGACAGTCCAAACAGGCCCGGCAACAACTTCCTAATGCAGGTTCTAAGCTTCATCTTTATAATGGGCAACCATGCCCGGGAGTCGGCAGTCTGGGCCTTTCTGAGGGGCTTGGGAGTTCAAAATGGAAGAAAGCACGTGATTACCTGCAGGTATTTGAGCCAGCGCTACATAGACAGTTTGCGAGTTCCCGACAGTGATCCAGTGCAGTATGATTTTGTCTGGGGTCCTAGAGCCCGCTTGGAAACCTCCAAGATGAAAGCCCTGAGATATGTGGCCCGAATCCACAGGAAGGAGCCTCAGGACTGGCCAGAGCAGTACAGGGAGGCCCTGGAAGAGGAGGCCAATAGGGCTGACGCCGGGAACCGGGCACTGGTTGTCCGCAACTTTCGAAGATGACTGTGTGGCAGTCAAAGTGGCCTTGTATGGCCGGGCCTAAAGCCCTGGTTCTCACATATTGGGGTTGGGGGGGGGGTTACATATCGTGTTTGATATTTGTGTTCCAGTTCCATTCGTGTATTTTCATATTTAGTTCTTGTTTGGTATCTTGAAAAGTTTCAATTGTTTTAATAATATTGTCCAGTAATGTAAATGTGATTGACCACTTGTGTCTCTGTTGTACTTTGCTATAAGAGTTTTGATAGTGTTGTAAAATGTTTTGGGATTCTTTCCATCTTGTTGCATTGTCTAAAAGATAATATATAGCATATAGCTATAGATATAGGCTTTTCCTTGAAAGCTTGAAAAAAATCATCAGTAAAGTGATCTAGCTTCAGATGTTAAACAAATATACAACAACTGACAAAGCACTAAATTGTGGCTGGCTTCCCTTTCTGTCTGCTATTGTGTAAACAATACTAATGTTTACCTGTATTTGCTTTGCTGTACTAAAATGTATTGAAAAATAAAGGTGTGATAAATCAAAGTTAATGCACTAACTTATTCAGTAACCATTTATTATATTCCTCTCATATAACAGGGACAGTAATGTATTCTGGTTATAGTCTGATAGACATATACAAGATATAGCCCCTTCCCTAGAACTCAAGGACCAGAAGTTGTATTATTATATAAGCTATATGGTACACTAAGTAGAGAGTTCTATGGGAGTTAAGAGGAGGTACATCAATCTAATTCCTGAATCCAAATAGTCCATAGTGAACATGATGGGGGTGGGAGGACAAGATTGGGTTCTTGATACAACATGAGGTAAATGGACTCAAATCTGGACTTTAGTCTTCAGTGGGTATTGGTGTGGATTGAAGTCAGTGATCTGAAGGTAAGTGTTTCACATGGCATATGCTGTCTCATTGGGCTGGAGTTCAGTGATTAAGAGTACTTACTGCTCTTCCAGAGGACCCAAGTTTGGTTCCCAAGCACCCACTTTGGGCACCTCACAACTTCGTGTAACTCCATCCCTAGAGGATCTAATGCTGTCTGGCCCTGGCAGGCACCCACACATGTGGCAGACACTCACACAAAGATACACACATGCACAAGAATAAAAAATTAATAAAAAGATATATGAGTTTACAAGCTTGTAAGCTCAGAGTGTCTGCACGAGGTCCCGGGTCCTATCCCAAGCAACACACAAACCAGTTTGGTGGCTTACATCTGTAGTCCTGGCACTCAGGAAGTAGAGGCAGGAGGGACAGAAATTCAAGGTTATTATGAGCTACATAGAAAGCTCAAGGCCAGCCTGGGATCCATAAGGACCGTCTTATATACTTTAAGAAGCTGTTTGAATTAACTTCCTCTGAGTTATACTATAGTTTTAATATGTATCCCCAAACTGAGTGTTTAGCCCTAAATGGTACACACCTTTCTTTCCTCTACCACCACCAAAGTTCAGGGAATATTAAAGGAGGAAGAGAGCATGGAAATAATTTTAAGAGCTGGCTGGTGGGGAAGAGTGCTATGGACTGCAAAGTTCTGCACTTGGCGTGGCTATTGTACTCATGGACTCACACCAACTGTGGTTGGTTGCCCTCAGAAGACCTGCACAAGATCAATCTAGTCTCATATAGATGGGGAAAAGTACTCTTCAAGCTCCACCTTTATTGAGTAGCTAGCTATGGGCAGTTGATAGCTGCTGTGGGAGGGAGAATAAATAATTCTTTTTTTAATGTGTGGCCACTGGTAGGTTTTCCATGCTCCATTAGATGGCCCCACAACCATGCACATAGGGGCAGTACAAATTGGACTTAGTAGGTTATATTTTAAAAGTGGACACAAAATTGTGAGGGGGACGTTGGGGAGGACTTGGAGGGAGTTGGAAGGAAAAATGGGGAATGGGTAGAAATGATCATGGTTCATTGTATATATGTGTGATGTTCTCAAGAATAAAGAAAAGGTAGTATTTTAAAGGGGGGCTAGAGAAATGGCTCAGAAGTTAAGAGCACTTGCTACTCTTCTAGAAGACCTCAGTCCAGTTTCCCAGCACCCATACCAAGCAACTCACTGCCACCTGGAACTCCAGCTTCAGGGATCCTACGTCCTCTTCTGGATTCCACAGGTACTTGCAAACACATGGCATACACACAAACACATGTGTATGTGTGCACATGCACTGACACATGATTAAAAGTAAATAAATAGATACATGAAAAACAAATAAATCTCTTATCTTTCAGCAATATACACCAACACACTTTTTGAGCCCATTTTACGTGATGTCCATGGGTTCCCTATCATTCTGTTTATATTGTCTTCATTCAGGTAAACAAGCTAAAGGAGTAGGCCACATGCAGAAAATCTATTTTTCTAGCAAAAGTAAAATAGTCATACTAGAGCAATATGGTTCTTTTAAATTCTTCTGCTTAGGTGTATTATAGTCCATTGGCAAAATACAAGTCAAATAGTCAACCTTGCTGTCAGTGGAAGAAGAATGTAATTCTTCCAAGGAAGGATATGCAGTGGTCAGCCTAATAGAGAAGCGACACATATTTTGAATAAAAAAGTCAGTTGACCATATAAGAATTTAGTATTTCTCGTGAGATGGAAAGTTATTGGAAGATTTTCACCTGAGGAATGGATAGGTTGGAGTTAGTTTTGACAAAATTATGTTGACTCTTGCACTGAAAAACCAAGGGGCCAAGGAAAACATAACTTCTAATTTTAGTATAGCATTTCTTTCCTAATTCTTTTATGAAAATGTAGTTTTCAAGGAAAATTGAACTAATATAGAGACAGGCAGCCTGCTTTTTAAAATAAAATACCCAAGGAAACAGTTTCCTTTGTATAAGGCTATTAAATGAATTAATGCATAGTGATTAAGATTATATTATCTACAAGTGGTTTCCAGAGTTCAGTTCAGTGTTGAGCAGAGAGGGAGGAGTGATGAGCAAAGAGATCAAGACCAGGCTGGTGAAACCCGCAGAAACAGCTGACCTGGACAAGGGGGAGCACATGAACCCCAGACTGATGCCTGGGAGGCCAGCATGGGACTGATCCAGACCCCTGAACTTGGATGTCAGTGAGGAGGCCTTGGCACTCTATGGAGCCTCTTGAAGTAGATCAGTATTTATCCATGGAGTAAGAAAGGACTTTGGGAGCCCATCACACGTGGAGGGATGCTCTCTCAGCCTGGACACATGGGGGAGGGTCTAGACCCTGCCCAGGATGGTATGACAGACTTTGGGGATCCTCCATGGAGAGCCTCACCCTCCCTGGGGAGGATAATTTAATAAAAAACCTTATGTGGTCTAGGGCTATATAGTACCTGATACAAAATCATGGTCTTCCTCATTATCAGGTATGGAACACTGAATAAGTTACTTAACACTTTTGCACTTCAGTAGCCCTGCTTGTAAAATGGGCATAATGATTTTACCTGGCCCATAATTTTGTAATAATTAAATATAACATGTAAAATACAACTGGATCTTATCTAGTTAGCAATATGCAGATGATGTTGCAGGCTGATTTTTCCAGGAATTAAAATGAGAAGTGGAAATTTTCCTGAAAATTTTATTGGGGACTGTGTTGGGCCTCAATACCCACGAGAAAGCAAAGGAGGCGGAAATCTGCAAAAGTGGAACAGTAATAGTTGCAGCAAATAGACTAGTTGATTTCACCAGCAAGTTTCAGGTCAGGGTGATCCTACAGATTTGTTCCAAGTTAGGAAACAGAGACTGAATTTTTATACTTCCAAAGTGCTGCTCAGTTCTTGGATATATCCTGTCTGATAGCAAAGAGCCTTGTCTGTGGGTAAGTCAATTCTTTCCAGGCAAGAGTGATCTGTTGAAGTATAAACCCAGCAAATGTCACCAGCTTGAAGTGCTGGAGGAATAAGCACTTCAACCCTGTAGAACTGGGACATCTGGGTGATACATAAAACATTCACTAAAGTTGTTGCTTCATTCCCTTTAACCACACCCCCTCTGTAGTTCTTTCTCTTATTGTTATTATCAGTAACTACAGTTGTCATCAAAAGGGATTAAATAACTTTGCATTGTTCTTCATGGGTATTGTTCATCCACATCAATGAATCATTTTACTTTTGGCATGATCTTTTTGAAAGAAAGGCTCTGATAATATACCTTTTACTTTATCAGTTTTCCGTGTTTCTTAGTAGAAGTGTGTCTTTTGTAGTAACATATTCATTGTACAAAATGTTGGATTTCATTATGACATTGTCATGCATATATATCATGCATTTTGATCTTTATTACCTCATAATACTCTCCTGCTCTTTCTCCCCCATTTCATTGGTCCTGTTCATCTTCCTTCTGTTTTCAAGTCTTTATTTTATGTAGACTGAGATTCTGTATATGGGAGAAAACATGAGATGTTTGTTTTTCTGGGCCTGGCTTATTTTGCTTAACATGATGATCTTCAACTCCACCCATTTTCCTATCATGATATAGTTTTGTCCTTTTATAGTTACACCATGTATCTGTGCCACATTTCTTTATCTAGCCATCTATGATGAACACCTAGATCTACTGCATAACTTGGGGATTGAGAATATAGCCACAATAAACATGGATGAACAGGCATCTCAGTACCAAGCTAACTTGGAATCCTGAAGGTAAGTACCCAGGAATAATATGACTGAGTAATTGCAGAAGAAACTGTGACCAGGCTACCCAAGCCTCAGTGGCCTATCCGAGGTGCCCAGGCCAGTTCACATTTGCACGCACAGCAGTCACTTCCTCCCTGAGCCAAATCCAAGACACACCTGACCCAGGAACACCAATGAGAAAAGGACATACAGCAGAGTCAGCGCCTGAGCCAATAGGACCTTGGGAGGGGGTATAAAGGCAGATCTAACTTCTTTAATAAAGGAGTCTGCAGCATGCTCTGCTACTCCCTGATTCCTGGTACCTGAATTGTTGGTACTACATCTTCTCACTCCCTCCCCAAGGGGTATCCGAGCAGGGTAACCCACAACAGATAATAAGGTAAGTTTAATTTTACTTTCTTTGGTAATATCCATAATGATTTCTGTAGTGACTGTACTGATTTATATTTCCATAAGTGGCATGTAGGGGGTGCTTTCTCCCTTCATCCTTACCAGCATTTGTTATGTTGACTGTAGCCAGTTTGAACAGGGTAAGATGGATCAGAATGTACTTTTGATGTACATTTCTCTGATAGTTAAGAATGTTGGATATATTTTTTTTTTTTGGTGTACACATTTGTCTGTCTATAGCTCCTGGCTGTCTAATGCTTTCATCTAGAGTCTTCCAGCTCAATGTGTGCTTGGATTCTCTTTGGATGTTGGGGAGTGAAGGAGGGGTTGATAGGGTCTTGGATGAAGATGGTGTCGATTTCTGTTCAACACACACACACACACACACACACACACACACACACACACACGCAGTCTTTTTTTAAAAGCTGGCACATGGAAGAGAAAATATAATTATAGGATTGATAACTGTCAATTTCATTGATTAAGTAGATGGTACCAGAGTAGTCATTTT